GTCCCCCTCCAGGGCCTGCCCCCCCCACTTCCCCCCTTGAACCCGGCTACCTCCAGTGAGCACCTATTTCTTGCAGCCCCAATCCCCTGGCCTGGAGCAGCATCTTGTCCTTATTGTGGGGCTACCCGGCCACCCCCTTCCCTGGACGGCCAGAAGATGGGACCCTCCCCCCCCCCCCCGCCACATGTCACATCCCTGTCCGCAAGGATTGCTCTCCGGCTCATGCTGTGGCTCTAGCCCCCGGTGTGTTTCTTGGTGTCCCGCAAACCCCCAAAGCCAGGCTTTGAGTGGATGAACTGCATCGCCTCCGACCTCAGATGGGCCCTCGGCTTTTCCTCTCCAGGACTTCACCTGTCCTCGCCCAGGTCTCTGTCCTTCCTGCACGGCCACCCCCTGCCGCCTCCTGGGCTAATGACAGCCAGCGTTTCCTGGGCGCCTGGGCCAGGCGCTGTTCTAGGTGCTTTACTGCTCTTAGTCTTTAATCCTCCTGAAACTTAGGAAGCAAATGCCCCCATTTTACAGATGAGAAACCGAGGCACAGAGGCGAGGTTTCCCGACCAGCATCACGGAACAGCGATGATGCGGACTGGAACAGCTCCAGGGTCGACGTCCCTAAGCCCGTATTAGTTTTGGGATCATTGAGCCCAGCAGTGCTCAGCAGCCTCAGTCAAAGAGGAGAGCAGGTGCTTTATCCCTTAGAAGGGAACAAGACGATGCCTTCAGGAAGCACATTCTTGTTCTCTGCCTAGTCAGCCACTGCCTCCTAGCTCACCAACCACAGCCAGGCAATGGGGCACGAATTCCTCCTCCCCGCAGACACCCCGCTAGACCACCTCCCCGGCTTTCTTGGGGCTCAAGGGACTGGTGCCCTCCTCCCTGTCCTGCTGGGGACTTGCCCCACTGATGTGCCAGCCAGGGTCCCGGCAGAGGAGAAGGGTGTGCTCAAAATTGGGCTGTTGAGCCCCGCTAGGGCTTAACCGAGGGAGCTCTGATGAAGGGGTCATGGCAGGGGTGTGGGCAGGGTCGGGGAGGGCACCTGGGCAGCAGGGGGCAAGGGGAGGAGACAGTGGTCTCGGGGCACTGTGAGGGGTGCCTGAGAGAATGGGGGCCTTGCACTGAGATGGGGAGCAGTTGTGCTCGGGAGTAGCAAGCCTTGCCTCTCTCTCCTCTTGCCTCCTCGCTGCGTAGAGACTTCTGGAAGCTGGGGGGGGGGGCAAGGAGTCTGCGAGGACATGGAGTAGGACAGAGGAGGAGGGGTCTTGGCTAAACAGAGACATCCCCTCTCTCTGGAATTGTCAGCCTCTCCCTCCAAGTTGGAGAGAACGTTCCCTCCATGCCAATTTCCCCTCCACTGTCCACCCCTCCCTTGCTTTCATGGGCAACTCTTCCATAGACTGGTTTATAACCCCTGTCTTCACTTTATTGCTGTCTGTTAACTCTTTAGAAAATCCTATTTCTTGGGCGCCTGGGTGGCTCAGTTGGTTAGGCAACTGCCTTCGGCTCAGGTCATGATCCTGGAGTCCCGGGATCGAGTCCCGCATCGGGCTCCCTGCTCAGCAGGGAGTCTGCTTCTCCCTCTGACCCTTCCCCCTCTCATGTGCTCTCTCTCATTCTCTCTCTCAAATAAATAAATAAATAAAATCTTTAAAAAAAAAAAAAGAAAATCCTATTTCTTGAGTTTCTGAATCCAAACACGCATTGAGTAATGCAAAATGTGAACACTACAAAAATACATGACATAGACAGTAAGAGTCCTCCATAATGTTCGCCACATCCCTACCTGCACCCACACCAGACATCACCACTGCCAAAAGTTCGGTGCATGTTTGTCTAAACTTAAAAATATATGAGTATAATCAGAATGGCTAAAACAGACACTTGAGACCACAGTATGGGTCAGCGAGCATGCAGAGGGGCTGCGCCGCTCCGGCGTTGCCGGTGAGGATGTGAAATGGTACAGCCCCTCTAGGAAAATGATGGCTGGCTCTTTCATGAGTGAAACAGGTGCTTGCCATATGACCCCACAGTTAACTCCTGGGCGTCTATGCCAGAGAAATACTTACATCCACACCAAAACCTGTGCATGGGTGTCCATGCTAGCTTTATTCGTAGTTGCCCCAAACTGGAAACAACCCCAATGTTCACACAGCTGAAGGGTTAAAGAGCCTGGGGTCCATCCACGCCATGGGATACTACTCAACACTAAGACAGAAGGAACTGCTGATATACACGGCCACCTGGATGGATCGCGAAGAATTCTGCTGAGTGCAGAAAGTCAGTCTCAAAGGTTACGCAGAGCGTAGCATCCTTGAAAAGACAAAATTATGGAGATGGAAAACAGATTGGAGGCTGCCAGGGGTATGATGTAGTTTTGGATAAGAGACCAAAAGGGTGCCAACAAAGGAGAACGTACACTCCTTCTCAAACAATGCTTGTGCATTCATTCCTGAAGTCCTTCCATTTGAAAGCTTCTTTTTGCTTCTGGAAATCGAAGCACAAGGAGGATTAGAGACAGCTCAACACAATACGTGGAGGGTGGATTTCACAGAAGAGAAGGCATCTCAGAGCGCCGAGATGCCTAGGCAGACCTGGTGACTTCGTGGCGTGAGGAGGGCTCTCTTTTTCCAAGAGCAAGTGTTGATTCCAGTACGAGGGGTCATCGGTTTGCGATCTTCGAGCCACCGGCCGAGTCCTGTATGGAGACCGCAGGGTGTCTCTATTTCCCTGATCACATGAATGTACATTTTGCTATGAGTGATAGGTTACTGGGAAGTCCTCCGAAGATGGTAACTGAAGGTCAGACTAAACCTACAGAGGAAAATGCGTCTACCTAGTAATTTCCTATAATTTAAATAGGAATAGTAAATTAAAATAAAAGTTTCTGGGGCAGGGCAGAGGGAGAGAGAGAATCCCAAGCAGACTCCCCACTAAGCACAGAGCCCGACATGTGGCTTGATCTCACCACCCTGAGATCATGACCTGAACTGAAATCAAGGGCGACTACTGAACCACCCAGGAGCCTCTAAAATAAAGTTTTCTGGGGCACCTGGGTGGCTCAGTCGGTGAAGCATCTGCCTTCGGCTCAGGTCATGATCCCAGGGTCCTGGGATCGAGCCCCGCATGGGGCTCCCTGCTCAGCGGGAAGCCTGCTTCTCTCTCTCCCACTCCCTCTGCTTGTGTTCCCTCTCTCACTGTGTCTCTCTCTGTCAAATAAATAAAATCTTTAATTAAAAAAAAGATTTGATATACTTATTAGAGAGAGAGTGAGAGAGAAAATGCGAGTGGTGGGGGAGGGGCAGAGGGAGAGGGAGAAGCAGCCTCCCCGCTGAGCAGGGAGCCCCACACGGGGCTCGATCCCAGGACCCCGGGATCATGACCTGAGCTGAAGGCAGATGCTTAACAACTGAGCCACCCAGGTGCCCCCGGGACTGTTTCTTCCTATGACCAAATAATATCTCATTGTATGGAGATGCTTAACATTTTGCTTCTCGTTCATCAGTTGGTGCGCTTTGGGGTTGTTTTCATTTTTTTTGCCGTTGCGGATAATGCTGCTAGGGAACATTCATGGACACGTAAATTGTCCTGTAAACACGTTTTCTGTTCTTTTAGGTGTATACCTAGGGCCGGGATTGCTGAGTCCTATGGTAACTCTGACTTTCTGAGGAACCGCCAAGCTGTTTTCCAAAGGGCTGCACCATTTTATATTTGCACGGGGGGGGGGGGGCTCATTCCTCTCCATGCTCCCCGACACTTTTTACTGCCTCTCTTTACTATTGCAACCTTCCGAGTCGGTGTGCGGTTGTATCTCATTGCCGTCTGTGTTACAGGCCCTCCCACCTGCGCCGCGCCCCTCCCCTGCCTCCAGGCCTCTGCCCGGTTCCTGCAGCCCTTGCGCGTAGAGACCGCTCGAGCCACGAGGACAGGGGCTGTCGCTGTGCGCACGCCAGGCTCCTGGAGGGCGGGGAGGCCTCTTGGTGACACGCTTGGTCACCCATCACAAGGCGCAGCAGGCAGCTGTCCCTTAAAGCGTGCTCAGTGAAGGAAGGCCAGTGAACTTGGAGCACCCCGTGACCCCCCAGAAAGGAAAGCCCGTGGAGTAGGAGGGCAAGGAGCTTCACTCCCGGCAGGTGGCCTTGCGGAGGTAGAATAGAAACTGCTTTGTGAGCAGCAGAAAGAGGGACAGCTGGGGGGACGACAGAAAAGAGGAAATGCCTTAGGGCAGCCACCTGGGGACTTAGAGCCCCGGAGCCTGCGGAGATACGCCACGGAGGATACAAAAGCCCTACCTCTCCTGTTCCTTCTTTGCTAAATTCAGCCCCTAAATTCTAAGTTCGGAAGCCCTTTATTGACTGAAAAGATGTTCAGGATCAACGGCCTCAAACACTTGGCACTTCTCTCCTCCCAGTGTATTTAGATTCCCTTGGAGCAAAGGTTGAATAATGGCTTTCCTGTCCCTCGGGAGCTTTCCTCTCGGGGAATAACGTCTCTTTTCAATTAGATGGTATTTTGAGAGTGCTTCTCTTTGGGAAAGTTCAAGAACAATCCGTTTAAATGCAGTCTTTGCTAATTATAAACATATTTGGGCGAAGGTTCATCCATCACAGGGGTGAAAAAGGATAAATTATAGGACTCACAGACAGAAAAACCCGTGAAAGAAAGTTTCAGGGACGCCTGGGTGGCTCAGTCGTTGGGCGTCTGCCTTTGGCTCAGGTCATGATCCCAGGGTCCTGGGATCGAGCCCCACATTGGGCTCCCTGCTCGGCGGGAAGCCTGCTTCTCCCTCTCCTACTTCCCCTGCTTGTGTTCTCTCTCTCACTGTGTCTCTCTGTGTCAAATAAATAAAATCTTAAAAAAAAAAAAAGTTTGAGCTTACCTAAGAAAAAGCTAAGTGAATGCCATCAGTTTCTTTTTGTTTCTATTGTATAAACGTAGAATGCACCTGGCTTATTTTCGTAATAAGACAAAGAAAAAGCAATACATTAATTTACTTTTTAAATTTCTTTATTTTATTTAAATTTAATTAATTAACATAGGATAATAGGTAAAAGCAATACATTTATTTCAATGAACACAATTACTGGTCCGTGGATCTGCAGTCAAGGCCACAAGAGGAGGGGGCCAAGCTGCCTCGCTCGGGTGGGAGGCTCAGGGGTAAGGGAGCACGTCTGGTTTCCGTGGGGACCACAGACTCCGAGCCTTAGAGCAACACCGGCCCCTTACCGCACACCCTGTGGGGCAGGATCTGGGCGGGCGCAGTCACGCCTGCGTCCAGTGGTCATCCCAGTGTCCGCGCAGCTCCGTTCCCTCCGGAGGCTTGACAGGCAGTGCATCTGCTTTCGGGCTCACCTGTTGGCGGGACTCAGTTCCTTACTGCTGTGAGACTGGGGCCCACTCTCTGCTGACTGTAGGGCGGAGGCCACGCTCGTTCCCAACAAGCTGCTGGCCACCTGGCTTCCTTGCCACCTGGGTCTGTCCGCGGACCCCCTTGCAATATGGCAGCTTGTTTCCGCAAAGCCAGCATGGGAGAAAGAAAGGCAGCGGGAATGGGAGCCTGAGTAATACCACCTAATCGCCTTTGCCATGTTCCAGGGGCTATTGGCGGTTGCAGGTTCCCCCCGCACTCAGGGCAAGGGGGATTGTATAGGATTATATAAGGGTGTGGGTCCTGGGACGTGGGGAGTCTGCGGACCATCTTAGAGTCTGTTTGCCACGGGAGTGTGACAGTTCTTGTGGGATCCGCACGCCCTCATCACTCAGCTGGATGTCCATTCCAGGACATTCTCAAGGCCGTCCGCTGCAAGAGTGCAGTTCTCCACCTGGGAGCTCTTCTTCCATGGGACGGACTTGCCTGGGGGACTGGACACCCTGGACTCGTGGAGGGACGGGACACGGAGGTGCCCCCACTTCCTCACCCCCGTGGGCAAGGACAATTCCTGTGCGGTCTCCCAGGGTCCCCAGCAGGGCTGGACCCCAAAGGCAGTTGCCACGGCAGCAATTTTGGAAAACAATGTTCCTTTTCTTGGCTTCCTTCCCTTCCCTGCCTCTCTGCCCTGCTCCCAGCCTCCCTGGGATCGCATCCTAAGTAAGCTTGCCTCGGGGTCTGATTCTGGGGCAACCCAACCCAGGACAGCATGGGTCCAGGCTGAAGGCAGGGTGTGCCTGGAGTCTGAGCAGCTCGGGCAGCTCTGACCGAAAGCCACGGACACAAAGGTCCACGTCTCCCACTCTGGAGACCGGAAGTCCAAGGTCAGGGCTGCTGTCCGGCTTGGTGTGTGACGGAGGCCCTGTTCCAGGCTGTGAATGGCCAGGCGCTCTTGTTGAATCCTCACCAGGTGGAAGGGTGAGAGGCCCCCTGGAGCCTCTTTTATTGGGGCACTACTGCCATTCGCGAGGGCTCCACCCTCGGAACCTGACGACCGCCCACAGCCCCACCTCCTTATGCCACCACCCTGGGCGTTAGGTTTGTAACAGAAGAATCTGGGGACTGGGGAGGGGACACAGACATTCAGACCATAGCAGCGTCTGGCTGAAAGGGCCCTGAGATCCGCAAGGAGTAGAGAGGGAGCCTCACGGGCCTGGTGGCGGAGAGGAGGAAGACGAAAAACCAGACAGGACCCTCAGTAGGTTAGTCAAACGTAGCTCAGCTGGGACCAGTTACGCTGCCCAGGTGTACACAGGGGACACACATCCTCACAGTGTAATAAGATTAAGCAGGTTTTTGCCCTCAGCCACTGATCGTGAGCGCGGCCACGTGGCCATGTCACGCAGGAAGGGCCCAGATGGGGCTGTGGGTTTTGGTTCTCCGACAATCAGTAAAACAGTCGCAGCGTCCAGTAGCTTTGGGGGGGGGCCCTTCCTTCTTACTTGTACCCCAGTTTTCCTTGCACCTGAACAGGTGCCTCGAAATCAGTAAGTCCCAAACCCAGCCCAGCCCACGAGTCTGCTTGCGGAAGGCAGGCTTACTTCAGTTCCCATGACCTGCCGGGTTGTGCCAGCTGAACAGGAAGGCCTCAGACCCGCATTCGGTCCACCACCAGGCCCTGCCATGTGACCTCCGCAATTTCTGTTGAGTCTGTGCGTTTCACTCCGCATCCCCCACTGACTGCCCCAGCCAAGCCCCTGTGTCTCTGGATTTCTGAAATAGTCTCCTCCCTGGGTCACTCGAGATCAGCCGACCCCCGAGGCCCTCCCAACTCCTGCAGGCTCTGCTCCTTAGGAGGAGCAGAGGGAGAGGGAGAGAATCTTCAAGCAGACTCTCTGCTGAGTGTGGAGCTGGACTTGGGCTCTATCCCATGACCTTGAGATCATGACCTGAGCTGAAATCAAGAGTCGGATGCCCAACCGACTGAGCCACCCAGGTGCCCCCATTCATATTTTTATGCTTTTATTATACAACGCGTGTTTTTAAAAATGAGTGGTTATGTTCCCATTGGTTTTTAGATTACGTGAACGATTCTATTATCATCAAATTGTGATTTCACATCTATTTGTATTCCTATTTGCTGAATGTTTCTCTCTCCCGCTTGATTGTAAACCCCACGAGAACGGAGCTGGTTTTTCACCGTTGAATCGACAAATCTGCCATGCTGCTCGACTCCCAAGAAGCTCTCGATGTACCTTTGTTGGCTGAGTGAGTAAGAGCTACCTTTCTACTCTGGATGAAGTTGGGACTTCTAGCCCTACAGGGTCCAAAGCCAGTGTCGCTCGTTTTTATGTAAACCACTTTGATTTCATGCAGGCCAAGACTATCTTGGTTCTTAGGCAGTGGGCTCAGGAGGGACCCAGAGGGAGTTTTCAGTCTGTGCGGGCCCACTGCCAGAGGCTTTGGGGTACGGGCTCAGTGGGACCCTGGATTAACAAGGGTGCCCAAAGGCCAGAGACCTTCTCTGGGACATTTCCTCTGCCCTCTCCTTCAGTCTGTTACAGAGGAGATGACACGGTTAAAGAAGCTTCAGGCTAACTGCTTCCAGATACAGGGGGAGGGCATGAAAGGGAGGCCACTCTCTTCCCGGTGGCAACGCCAGCCGATCCATTGACTCGGGACTGGGAATTGTACCTTGCCAAGACAAAGGGTCCAAAGAACGTTGTTGACTCAGCATTTTGGGACAGGGATGAAGTTATTGAGTCCCAGGAGGCAAGGGATCTTACAGCCTCATGTTGTCAAGACACTTGACACGTTTCCCTGGAACAGATCAGGCCCAGTGAGCTCTGTCACAGAGGAACTTGGGACCCACTTGGGACCCATTCCGAGGTGGGGACATAGAGCAGGGTTTGTTTATAACATATACTTTTTTGGGGGGTGGTAAATGAGGAAGTGGGAAGAGTGTGACCTTTGGAGTCAGATGGACATGGGTTCCTCTCCTGGCCGGTCTCTTGCCGGCGGTATGTCACCCAAGTATTAATTTCTTCTCCCTAACACTAGGAGAAAAATCCCATTTCAGGAGGTGTACAGAGAACTCACTGGCAGCACTGAACGCTGGGTCTCGGACACGACTGGACCCTGTTATCTGAACTGGAAAGAGTCAAAGCTGTGGCCAGGGGGCTGGGCCGGGGGGGCCAGGCTGGGACATATGACACGCAGATTACATTCAGGTGGCCTCCGCCGGCATCTGGAGGCTGCTGGGGGCTGGCCACAGCGATAGCTGGCTTGGTTTTGACCACCCAGCGGCTCGGGTGGGCGCCGGCCCACCACCAGGATGGTTGGGTGTTTGGGAGTGGCTCCCGTGGTTACTCACTGTGTCAGGGTGGGCGCGGCCCCGTGTCGCTCCCACGCCCGGGCTCCGTGTCCCTCCCACGTGCGGGCGCTCCCAGCTGGCGGGAGAGCGCTTTGCACTTTCAGCCGCACACGGAGCCCCAAAGCTTCCAGTGGAGCTGGTGAGACCCCGTCCCGAGTGGGGAGGTCTATGGCAGCGCCGTCGGACCTGCAGGGACGTGTCCCCCAGACGCTGGCACGACTGGAAACCCCGTCTCTTCTCCCCGCTGCGCAGCTGAGAGAGCGGCGCTGCCCACCGGCCTCCAGAGCTGGGTATGGGTCCCCGGTCTGGCGGCTGGGCTTGCAGACCCCGTCGGTGGGTGGGGCAGCCGCTCGGGAATTCCACTGCCTGCTCCACCTGCCTTGAGGCTGGAAAACACAACAAAGGGAGCATACATTATTCAGGCAATGTGAGCCTGTGGGTCCCACGCCCACAGCGAGTGGCAGGCACTCTCCAAGGGGGCGTGTGACGCACGGGCTGTCATATCTGGCTTCCAATAATGGGAATCCCCCGCAGGGGGATGCCCAAGTGACAAAGCTGTGCGTTCCCCTCCCGGGGCCACAGAAAAGGATCCTGGTGGACAGAGTTCATTCAAGCTGATAACTTCCCTCCCCAACCTACCCTTCTGGTCCTTTCAAGCTGGTTTCACAAGGTTTTAAGTAAGTCACCCAGGGGTGGGTGGAGCAGTATCCTTGGGAGCGGCTCCCAGGGACCAGAGATGCCAATGGAGATGGAGCACGGGGTGTTTCTGAGGCCGAGGGTTCTTCGGAACTGCAGTTGCTCTTCCCTGTGCGCCGATCACGCGTGGGCTTGGGGTTTGACGCCTGCACTCCAAGAGGTTGTTGGCTAGGGATTCAAAAATATGTGGAATCATAAGATAGGTGATATTTCTCCTTCCTTCCTTGGTTATGACATGATTGTCCTGGAGCTAAGCTGTCTGAGATGGTTTACACCTCGCCCGTATCTCGTATTGCAGGCTTATCCTCAGATTTGGGCTTTGGCACAGATGCCAAACATACAGATGCCAATTAGGAAACTAAAATCCAGTCATTACTCTGAGATTAAATATTTCAACACAGTGTCTCAAACTATAATTAAGGCAGCAAGCTTCATTACCGGGAGAAAAAAAGCCTGAGAGGCGACAACTATTTTTGGAATTATTCTTATGTTTGATAGGATCACCGCCACTTGATGTCTTATCAGCTTGCCTCCAGTCTACCCAAACTTACCAACCAATCTAAATAAAATGCCATGAAGCAACACGTTTGAGAAGCAGGGAGGTCGCAGGCAGAAGAGGGGAGGAGAGCAGGGCAGACGGGTGGAGCGCTCCTCCCCCAAAAAGGGTGAAGAAAGAAGGTGAGATAATTAAAATCTGGAGCCTGTATCGAATTGTAAGAGGTGGTTCACTTCAATTGTGACCCAAATTTATCCTTTGTGTTTTGTTGCATCCCCTAGCTCAAATCGCAGTTGCAAGAGTATGAAGTCCGGACGCACTCGGGTTGTCCATGTCTCCGGCGTACACTAACGAAATTCATTGTTTTAGAAGTATCAAGGTTTCTATTGTTTTATAAATGACAGGCCATATACCACAGAAGATATAGGTAGGCCGGAAAAAAATGACTTGTTGAGGAAATTCAGCTTAAAAATCCCATTTCCCATTACCTGAACATTTGGTCAATTAGCTTCTTACGGTTTCATTTCTCTCTCTCTCTGTCCTGCTGTTTTGGCATCATGTGAACCCTTTCTTAATGGCTTTTTTAAAAAACGAAATGAGTCAATGTAGATAAAGAGCTTAAAAGGACCATATAAGTGTGTACAATTATTATTATTGCTTCTGACTCCAGAAATTAACTGAACTAAGAATATTTAGAAGATACTTGAATATTTTACTGTATTTTTAATACTCTTATGGCAAGTTATTTCCAAAGCAGTGTCGGAAAACACCACGCATTTCAGCAATGTTTGATGCCAAGTATAGGAAGCCACATTCACACCCAGGAAGATTCGCCCCACTAGGTTACGTTTTCTTTCTTTCTTTTTTTTAAAATTTTTTTATTTTTTAAAGATTTTATTTATTTATTTGACAGAGAGATAGAGAGCACAAGTAGGCAGAGGGAGAGGGAGAAGCAGGCTCTCCGCTGAGCAGGGAGCCGAACGTGGGGCTCGATTCCAGGACCCCAGGATCATGACCTGAGCCGAAGGCAGATGCTTAACGACTGAGCCACCCAGGTGCCCTTGAGTTACATTTTCTGACAACCAGCGTGATGTCACCGCGTCAGAAATGGAAATGCATTTCATAGGTAATATTCTCTAACCTGCAGGTAATCAAGAACATCCCTCTAACACTTACAAACTTACCTATATCTAAAAGGAATCTTCCTTTTTAGAGTTATTTTACAAAGAAAAATGTCTAAAGTTTTCTCCCTCTGAGTCAGTAGCCCTCTAAACTTTATTATGGTAGGTGGGTATCATAATATAGACAATAGCCAGCTACAGTAGAATTACAGACTCTATTTCAATGATCGGAGAAATGTGGTTATCGTCTGGGTATTAGGAGAAACCAGGGACTGCTCTTTTTGTAGGTGTGACATTGACATTATGGTCACGTAAGAACACATGTATTTTTTTTAAGGTTTATTTATTTATTATTTGAGAGAGAGAGAGAGAGAGAGTGGGGAGGGGCAGAGGGAGAGAGAGAGAATCCCAAGCAGGCTCCATGCCCGGCGTGGAGCCTGACGCGGGACTCGATCCCACGACCCCGAGATCATGACGTGAGCTGAACGAAACCAAAAGTCAGATGTTTAACCAACTGAGCCACCCAGGCACCCCCCAAGAACTCATGTATGTTTTAAAGAAATGCATATTGAAATACGTAGAAGTGAGTTGAGATAATTTCTAGGATTAAAAAAACAATTCAGAGAAAAAGAGAGAAAGGGACAGTACAGCAAATCTTGCTAGTTCTTAAATCTGGGCGTTGGGTTTATCACTCTATTTTTGTGTAAGTCTAAATTTTTACAAAATAAAAAGGTTTTTTAAAAGGCTAATTCAAACACCTGGTTTCAGCAGTTTATCTCTCAATTACGCAGAGTGTAGATGAGACGGAGAGATTCAGCTCAGTTTGAGCCCATCTGTCAGAAGAATTTTCTCTAACTGAGGACTTCTCAAACTTCGGCGCACATCGGTCACTGGGGTGGGGAGGTGTCCCACTCTGGAGCGTCTGATTGAACAGGTCTGTACACGGGCCCAAGAAATGGCGTTTGTAACAAGTTCTCAGGGGATGCTGACTCCGCCGGGCCGGGGGGCCACACTTTCTCGCTAAGCCGCCTTTTCTAAACTACCTGGGGCGTGTTTTTTGCAATTGATTTAATTTCCTTTCTTACCAATTTTGTTTATCTTGTCACAGAGCCGGCTCTTAGTGTCATTGATCTTTTCTATTGTCTTTTTAATCTCTATTTCATTTCTTTCCACTCTGATCTTTATTTTTGCTTTCTCTAGTAAGTATGCATTTCATGCATTTTCTTAATTATTTCGTGTCAAGCTTGAGCTTTAACTGTTCACATGGGCCAGTTGCCAACCCTACTTATTTTATTCTGGAATGAATGATATCATTTATAAGATTAAAATTACTTATAAAAACATATTTTAAAAAAGAAAAATAGATTTATAATCATTTATAAAAATAAGTGATACAATTTATTCTGGAATATCAGAGTCAAATCTTGAGATTTTGTTAGAAAGGCTCTGCACTGTTTGGTCCTGGCCTACCTTGCTTTCCAATCATATCCTTCACTGTTTTCCCAGCTGCCGCGATATCAAGCTATCTGACCTCTAAACAAGTCAGGCATGTTTCTATCTCAGTACCTTTGTCCACGTTCTCATCTGCTGCTGGAATGCATGTGTGCACTTACACACACACACACACTCACACACTGAGTATCCAAGACAAGGTCTGGTCCAAATCCTCCTCCTCCATGAAGCTCTCCTGGACTACCAGCATCCATGGTGATCTCCCCCGCTGAGAACCTCTCAGTCTGCACTAATCATATCCTGTCATGAAATAAATTTTATATTATTATTCACTATACATACATATATATATATATACATATATGCATCTTATCTCTTCACTAGACTGTGAACCCCCCCGAGAGCAGGGGCTGTGCGCTATACAGAATATCGTTATACGGCCCACAGATTTTGGCCCAGAACGATGTATTAATAGGCAAGTCCGTTTTTCTACCAACTGAGGGGAAATAATCACCTTTTTTCTGAGTAAATAGGGGATGGAACCCGCAGTCTGCAGATGGAGGTGAAGCATCAGTGAGAGGCTAATAGAATTGTAATATCTGTTTACCTCCAAGCAGAACTGTGCGAATAATAAATGTTTATGCAGGCCTTTGAGATCTTCAGATGAAAGAGACTTTAGAAGAGTCCAGAATGACGATGATGGCTCTGGGGACTCTTTCAAAGCCTCAGACCAAATCTCTGGGCCCCCTTCAGGTTTTCTCAGACTGGGAGGAGGGTCGAGGGCTCCTCCCAACACCCCTGGGGGCCTTCAAGGAAAACGAACTTTAGGGGCACCTGGGTGGCTTAGTCGTTAAGCATCTGCCTTTGGCTCAGGTCATGTTCCCGGGGTCCTGGGATCGAGCCCCACATCGGGCTCCCTGCTCTGCGGGAAGCCTGCTTCTCCCTCTCCCACTCCCCCTGCTTGTGTTCCCTCTCTCGCTGTGTCTCTCTCTGTCAAATAAATAAATAAAATCTTTAAAAATAAAAATAAAATAAAATAAAATAAGGCTGGAGGTCACTCCAGCTCGTGATCACAGACACCGGGCTTCCTGTGCAGAACTGAAACAGATGCTCCTTTTCATTCTCTAGCGGGGAGACGTTGAGCTCTGGACCAGCTGTCTCCTCACAGTGCTCCAGAGTCCCAGGCCTGGGCTCTCAGGCCTCAGGGTGATCCCTGCAGTCACCTGTGTTAATTTCTCCGTGGTCACAGCCACTTTGGTCTGAAAGCACAGGTGTTGGCCTGCATTCTGCTCTTCGGGAAGCATCTCTCCCTCCATCTCTGTCTCTGTCTCTCTCCCCCCTTCTTTGTAGGATGGCTCCAGGGGTCTCTGGATCACCCCTGGAAAACCCATCTGTGGCCCAAGCTGGAGAAGGTGCCTCACATCCGAGCTCAGGCCTTCTCCAGCCTCTGTTTTCCTTGGCCACGATGTTCCCCTCTTTTCTTCTCTCTGCTTTGTTCCTGATCCTTGTTTGGGTTGACTCGGCTCGGCACCACTTTAGAAATAATTCATTAGCCATAAAAAACTGTCTTCTCGAAATCTGTAGTTACGGGGCACCTGGGTGGCTCAGGCGGTTGGGCGTCTGCCTTCGGCTCAGGTCATGATCCTGGGGTCCTGGGATTGAGCCCCGCATTGGGCTCCCTGCTTGGTGGGGAGTCTGCTTCTCCCTCTCTCTCTGCCCCTCCCCCCGCTTGTGCTCTCTCTCAAATAAATAAATAAAATCTTAAAAAAAATCTGCAGTTATGACTGCCTATGTGGGATGACAAGGAAAGAACTCCAGTGTTTTTACAGGCCCAGGCAGACGTGGGGACAGCTATAATTAAGCAGTAAATCACAACAAGATGCTGTTAGAGCATGCCTCAGATGTGTTGGAAAAAAGGCCAGTGCCCTCACCTGCCAGCAGGAAAGAGAGGGGGTGAAAAAAAACAATAGCCCAGTCAAGCTTGAACAGACAGGCCTTCTACCTGCTAGGATCATAAAGCCTCTCCTGGCTTGTTTTTCCAGGAATGAAAAATCCAATGTACAAAGGGCCAGGGTTCCATTCTCCGCCAGATGCTAATCCCCTCTGTTGCAGCGAGATCAGGTCAAACCGTTTCCTGGTTGGCACGGAGCAACTTTGGGCAGCCTGATGCACGAGATTAGAAGCGCTCGGCCCGCTGGGGCTGGTGTGCGTGAAAGTCTGCAATCACAGCAAAGCAGCAGCAGAAAATGCGCTCGCATAGACCCTGGGCGAGAAGGTGGAGGTTCTGAACCTGAGGCTGGCGTCGTTTAACCGGGATTGCAGGGCACGCTGGCTCCTTGCTCTGGCCTCAAAGGCTCATTGTTGGTGTTCGTCCCTGCACGGGACACCTGTGTGGGTGGCCCTTGATTCCTGACTCAGACTTGAGGAAAACAGACACGCGCTGGAGGAGTCCCTGACTCTAGGTCTCTAAGTGCCCTTTGAGCCCAATTCAGGATATGTTTCCGGGGAAGGAGGAGTCTTCTGGGCAAGTGTGAGCCAGAGATGAATTAATGATGCCTCCTGCCCACATGACACTGGCAGGAGAATGCTTCCCGAGGAGTCACAACTGGCTTCTCACCCCTGGAGTGTGACCCCTCTGTGGGTCGCAGACTCCTCATCGCAGGACCCGATTCTGGGAGAGACCCGAGGGTGATATAGTGGGGCTCCACATTTTTTTAAAAAGATTATTTATTTATGTATTTACTTAGAGAGAGCATGAACAGGGGGAGCGGCAGAGGGAGAGGGAGAAGCAGGCTTCCTGCTGAGCAGGGAGCCCGACGCAGGGCTTGATCCCAGGACCCTGAGATGGTGACCTGAGCCAAAGGCAGATGCTTGATCGACTGAGCCACCCAGGTGCCCCCAGACGCCAGATTTTCTGATGCCTTCCTTTAGAAGGCTCTGAGGAAGGGGATCAGAAGGTTTGTCACAACCAAAGTGCTCTGGTCTGGACCATGTGGGCCCCACCATCTGGGCAGTCATAGAGTCTCCCGGGAACTTATCAGAAATGCATTCTGGCCGACAGAATCAGAAACCCTGGGGATGGGGCCCGGAAATCTGTTTTAACAACCCCTTCGCTGAAGTTTGAGAACCACTGGCCTGTACGAAAAGCACGCCTTCAGGGAGGGAGGCAGGTGGGGAAGGATGCTTTCTTGTCTGCCCCAGTGGGCTTCATGTTCCTATAAACACCCGTTTTGCCCCTCCTCCCCAACCCAGTTTATTCATGTGGAAATTAGAAATTCTTTTCCCCTCTTACCCAAGAGAGGCCTGCTGATGCAGGGGGCAAACATTCTCTCTCCACCTGCCTCCCATCTCATGCTGGAGCCCAGCTTCTGCTCAGAGAAAGGTGTTCCCGCCAGGACCAGGCCTCTTTGTCCCACAGGTCCCCTGGTCATTTCGGAAGCAGGCCCGCTGCGCTCAGGTGAGGGACACCAAGCCTCGGCTGCTCCCCGACAGGGAAGGAATCTGCCCGGGGGCTCAGGAGGCTCAGGGAATAGTGGTAAGGCAGTCCACATACAGGCAGAGGGCTGAAGGCTGGGGCCTTGAAAAGCAAGGACAGGGGCACCTGGGTCGCTGCTCAGCAGGGAGTCTTTCTCCCTGTCACTCTCCCCCTGTGCTTTCCCTCTCTCTCTCAAGTAAATAAATAAAATCTTAAAAAAAAAAAAGGCAAAGCAAGGGTAAACGTCCTCAGTAACCTTCCACGGGCTGTTATCAGAAGAAATGGTAAGGCAGGGTGTACCCGCAGGGCTCCGAGCCCTTTCTGAGAAAGGCATGGTATGAAGACTATTCATACGCAACGTATGACTACACCTGGCTGATGTTTCTGTCTGATATAAAACAAATCCACCTGGGGATGCTGACAACAGGTTTGGGGCTGTCGGAAGAGGAAGTGGTAGAGGAGGATGCTGGGCAGAAAACCCTTTCTTCTTCTTCTTTTTTTTAAAACATTTTATTTATTTATTTGAGACAGAGAATGAGAGAGAGAGAGAGAGAGCACAAGCAGGGGGAGCAGCAGGGGCAGAGGGAGAAGCAGGCTCCTCGCTGAGCAGGGAGCCTGATGTGGGGCTCGATCCCAGGACTCTGGGATCATGACCTGAGCTGAAGGTAGATGCTTCACCAACTGAGCCACCCAGGCGCCCCAGAAAACCCTTTCTTACCCACCATAGCGCACAATGTATGTAGATTAAATGAAAGAATGCATCAATAAATAGCAGTATGAATTTTTTTTTTTTAATCACATGGGTCTGCTAGTCTTTACGATATCTTTGTCAGGCAGTTTCTGAGTAGCTTTTTATTTATTATTATTATTTTTTAAAGTAAACTGTACACCCCACATGGGAGGCTTGAACTCACAACCCCGAGATCAAGACTCACACACGCTCTACCACCTCAACACACCTTCTCAAAGCCCATTTCTATAGCTTTTATTTTATTTTTTTTAACCTCAGAATTGGATCAAACATGTCCTCATGATTCACGCATGCCTTTTATTTAGTTATTTGTAATCATGCAGGGAGCACCCACAAACGCAGCCCCAGGAGACGCCTGCCTTCCCCCATCTGAAGGAGCCTTTCATCCTGAATCCTGTGTTCTCACTTACTTGCTTTTCTTTTCATATCATTTGATTTCATCCCTATGTATTCCAAAAAAGTACATTTTTACTTCAGTCCCTTTTAACTTGATAAAAAGTTAAAATGCTTTTCTGTGTGGCACGTAATCTTGTAGAATTCAATTTTTCACCTAATACCTTGCCAGGCAGACTCCGCCATAGCGTTAGCTGTGGCTGTCGTTGGCTTGTTGTTACTGCTGACTCGTACTTCATTGTGGGGATGAAACACAGCTTCTCCGTCTACTCTTCTCTCGATGGGCATTTGGGTTGTTGGGGGGGGTTCTGCTACTGTGACCAGGACACAGGATGCTGGTAAAAGAACATACCCTGCAGGGGCGCCTGGGTGGCTCAGTTGGTTAAGCGACTGCCTTCGGCTCAGGTCATGATCCTGGAGTCCCAGAATCGAGTCCCGCATCGGGCTCCCTGCTCAACGGGGGGTCTGCTTCTCCCTCTAACCCTCCTCCCTCTCATGCTCTCTGTCTCTCATTCTCTCTCTCAAATAAATAAATAAAATCTTAAAAAAAAAAAAAAAAAGAACATACCCTGTAGACGTATGCAGCACTGGCCGGGGGCCGACCAACTGACCGAGGGGCTAGAACGGGGTGGAAGAAGCTGCCCGACATCAGAGGCGACATTTAAGACAGGGGGGAAGGAG